ACCTCTCGCCATACACATGGATGCTGACTCCTCTGACAGTCGACTAGTGAGCGTGCCGGCGGTGTCCACGGCCACATTTTTGTCACTGCAATTTTTCGTCGTTTTCTCATTCACACGTACAGTAGATATGCTATCTAATGAAATTTTAACCAAAATTCTAAAATGAGTTTTCCATTGGAAAACATGACCAACGTGGTATTGTAGTCTTAGTTGTCCTACATCATTTGCAGTCACGTCAGGACATCGACTTTTGAACGGACACCTATGAAAAACAGATGGATTTTTTTTATCAAATAAGTACAGGAAAAATGATTTCGGGCATCTTTTCTTTGAAGTACATTCGAATTTATAGGAACTTCAAAAATGCCTACTACAGCGAAAGCTCGGTTAACGAGCTTTATCCGTTCTGGCACCGAGCTTGTTATGTGAAAGACTCGCCCTGTGAAACGTAGCCAATCAAAATACACCAGTTTACTCATTGGCTGCAGGCGACCGAAGACTGACGCCCTGGGAACAAGACTCAGCGGCGAACACTGACGCACACGCACGCACTGGCAGTTCGCTAACTGAGTGGAAGCTCGTCCAACGAAACACATTTTCTGCTATTGGCTCGCTCGTTATCTGAAATGCCCGTAGAGAGGGTTGCTCATCATCCGAGGCTTCATTGTATTTGAGTAGTCATTTTTTACAGACTACACATTTTACAAGCGGCTGGAAGGATTCGCCTTCAAGGACCAGCATCCTTATGGGACTAAAATATACTGGGATAATGCTGCATGGTAATTCATCCTGGAGTCCTACTTTAACATTCTTTTCTAATAAAAGCGCATTTTGAAATGTCGGTTGAAATTTTGTGAGATAGCACGTCTAATGTACCTGCTAACTCGTTGCCCAAAACCCCGAGAGAGTTTTGAGTAAATAAGCACGTATTTTATGGTCTGTTGTTCTTCAGTCATTTGATAATTTGTCCTTTGGTCGCGACGATACTCCTCGAGCGGTGTTACAACAAACAATTGGCGGCTTCGACATGACCGTTTCTAGCGTGTCAATTGTCATCAGCCAGCCATACTTCAACCTGGGGCAATTGCGCACGCTAGGTATGCTCTTGGTTCTGGTGGACCATTAAGCATTCGAGTCAGACACCCTATCCACTTCAGTTACCAAGCCCGACTGCAACTACACACTCAGCTGAGAGTGGCATTCGCCGGTCCCCACCCTCTGTCACCCTCCTTCTCCCAGGGACGGGCTCATTTGCGCGTACGTTGAATTATTTGGAGGGGGAATTACGTGGTATCCACTTCTTGCTCTCCTCATCATCGTCCAATGAAAAGACATGATCAGGCCGACAGGACATTGTCGTGGGCGTAGTGAGTTACTTGACATAAAGTCTCCACTCACGTATATCCAACATATCCACGCTGATTTCTCAGCCCTTCTCAGACTGTCAGCCATATCCTAATAAAAATCCGCTCCTCTCACTATTGCGAACGTTGTCGATGTTATTAGTTGACTGCGCTCAGCCACTTACCTTTCTCCATCCCTTTCCAGCTCTTCCTCTTCACGGACTCCTCGGATGACTGGTTACAGGCTAAGCTGTGGTTCAATCTGGCCGATGCCTGTCACCATATGATCGCGGGTCGGCTTCTCAACCACCTTCTCCTGGAGTCCATCTACGTCTCGATGCGACGAAACCTAGCCCAGTCTCATCCCATCTACCAACTCCTGGCCCCACACTTTCGCAGCCTGCTAGCTGTCAATAGGTACCTCCTCTCTTTTTCTGCACTCTAGTGACTTTGTAAACCAACCTGTTGTGTGAGCAACAGCCTAGCTCGTCCCGTCTTCTCGGTTTCTTTCGTTAGCCTCACAGTCTGGAGACGTTTTCATTTAGCGTTTTAGGGTTCTCAGTGAGGGTATTCATGAAATAGACAGCCATATAGTGTGGTTGGTTGGTAGCCCATGTTGGATCAGGGGTTCCCGCC